GATGAATCTATTCAAAACATATATGAAGTAGTGCAGCATGGACAATGGGATGAAGAGGTTCTCAAAAGTATTCTACCAGCTAACATTGCAGATCATATTTTGCAGAACCTGAAGCCTCCAACAATTGATAATGTTATTGATAAGCCAGTATAGATGCTAGAAACAAGAGGAGATTTCACTGTGAAGTCAGCTTGGGAATATGTGAGAAGAAGAAGAGAGCCTTGCAATGCTTATAGAAAGATTTGGGTGAAAGGTTTACCCTTTAAGATTGCCTTCTTTATGTGGAAAGTCTGGAAAAAATAAATTGCCTCTGGATGATATTTTTCAAAAAGCTGGGATATTTGATGGCCTCAATGTGGTGGTGTTCTGTTGAGCCTAGGGAAGAAACTATGCAGCATCTGTTTTTCACATCAAAAGCTGCTAAATTTGTATGGAGCTATTTCCTTGGACATGGAGGAATCTCTTTACAAGGGATTACNGTTTTGATGATTGGAACAAGTTCGTATGATGTTTTGGGGGTAGGTTGGTGTTTTTGGTTGAGGTCCCGGGGGCCTCGGGGTGATTTCAGGTGATCAAATGGAAGAAAATTTGACTTGGAGTGTTACAGATTTTCAGCAGCTGTTGCAGGCATAATTTTGCCTTCGCGTTCGCATGGCATAGGCCGCGTTCGCGTAGGCCTGATTCTGTTGGTCATCGCGTCCACGGGTGGGACCCCGCGTTCGCGTAGGAGGAGTCTGGGGGCCCAGCTTGGTCATTCATCGCGTTCGCGGTGGTGAAGTCGCGTTCGCGTAAGAGGGCCTGGGAGTGCATCGCGTTCGCGTCTGGTGCTACGCGTTCGCGTAGAGTAAAATTGGTCTGTGGAAATTTTGTTCATCGCGAACGCGAGAGGGCCTTCGCGTTCGCATAGAAGACAATTGCAATGGAGATAGATGAGATTAAAATGCTGAGTACCAGATGCAATATCACTATAACACACACACTTAGAGAAGGTAGACCACTTGGCAAATTATGCTTTGGATAGGGGAGATATTGAAGCATATAGCTTTTGGGAGCTGATACACAAGGGAGAAGGATTGTGAATAATGATAAGATCCAATTTCCTTATATAAGAGTGAAAGTGTCAAGAAACTAGGAGTTAAAGAAGGTACAAGGTGGAGATGCAGGATGGGAGTAGCAGCTGTTCAATCAGGAGATCACCATATTCAGATCCTTTGGGAGAAGAGTATGGTGATAGGTTTTACTACTAACTTTTTTTGTTTTTTTGCAGGTGATTTGTATTTCTCTATGCTTTTCTCTTTAGATAACTCTCAATTGGTGGTATTAGTGCAATGCACTCAATCCAATGGGAGGAATTTAAAGGTAGGAAAAAGCATAGATGCAGGGAAGAAAAATGTACATAGATGTCCAGCCTTTAGCATAGATCAACAATGGAACACACTCACAGCAAATACTTTGCACAGTTGGTGCTATGGTGAAAATAATAGCTGTCTAGTGGTCATTTTCTGGATGATTTGGCATCTATCATTTCTGACAAGAAGCAAGACAAAATCTGTAGGACTTCATATTACTGCAGATCATTATATTCAAATCCTTAGGGAGGAGGATATGATGATCAGAGAATACTCAGGGGTCCATTCATGTGGTCATTATGCTCAAATCCTTTGGGAAGAGAGCATAGGGATTATTTTAACTAACTTAGTTTGTTTTTTTGCAGGTACATGGGCTTTGCTATTGTTCTATGGTGTAATGGAGATTCAATTGGTGGTATTAATGCTCAGCATTCATTCCAATGGATTAAAATTAAATCTAGACAATAGCACAAGTACAAATTTCCTCAAAAGGCAAGGAATTGCATCACAGCAACAACAACAGACAAAACAAAAAATCAACAAGCCATATGATGTCACAAATGCATACAGGATGCTGACAGCAAAATTCCTTTCAATCTCAAAGGAATTTAGCTGGATGATGCACATGTGGAAACAAACAATCAAGCATAAACAGAGATATACCTTACAACATACAAGGATTCAATCACTCCTCAGGAATTCATATCCACAGGCAAAGCAGAAATCAGAGAAGGAACAAAAAATAAATCAGAAAGAGGAAGAGAAGACTGTTACTCTTAAAACATTTTACAAAATCCACTGGCATAGTCAAGGAAATCTGAGCAGCAGTTCAGCAATTTTGACCGGAACACCAACATGCAACACAAGGAAACCTAAGCAGGGAAGGTTTTTGAGCAGTACATCCACTCTTACAGCTGGCCAATCTTTGATGTCTCTAACTAGATGCGGTAGGTAAGATTCAGCTGGATTCAGCTGGAATACTCTTAGGTACAAAGCAATTCCAATCAGCAGCAGCAGGAAATCAAGATGCAGCAATTAGGGAGGTAAACAAGAGGATAGATAACAGTAGAACATGGATGAGCTTCAGAGAAGAAATTTTGGACAGAGATGGGCGAAATGATAGATGTAGGTGGTCTGAAATGGATACAATGAGTGTAATGATAGGAATAAATGAGCAAATATGGGATATAATTGGTGACAACACGTGTGCAAGGAAGGAAATTCGAGAAATGTGGCTACATGTGCAATGTACGACGTGGGGATCTTATTTGACTGAAATAGGTTATAATTGTAAAGAGAATACAGCGTTGAATTAGGCTGGAAAGGCTATTGAGATATTGGGCTGGTTGTTGAGGAACTGGGTCACACAAATTAGGCTATTTTATCTATGGCTGTATTTGCAAGTCAGCATTTGGACCGCTGGTTGTGCTAGAATAGGCCACTTCTGCTGGGCCAAATAATACGGGCTACTTGGACTTGATGGACGCAACAATGGAGAAATTTTACACATGGGCTAGTTTTTATTTTACAAATTTTTATAGTATTAATGTGATATCAATTTTGAGTATAACACTCAATTTTGATAATAGGCTATATGTAGAGATCAAACTATATTACTTTACACTTATTAGGACTCCATGACATTTGTTTTCATTTTATATATTAATAAAAATTAGCCCTAGGCACTTGCCTAGTGGATTTTGCTAAAAAAAAAAACCAAAACCAAAAAAAAAAATTCCCCCGCGTTAGAGCTCTAGAGAGAGAGAGGCTCTGGCAATTTTTTACTCCTAGAGAGAAAAAGCTCGTGTTTTCGCTGCCATGGCCAACTTGGCCGGCGGCCAGCCTATTTCTCTGGCTGGTCAACCCCCTCCCACGATCGCCCAGCCCCCCACGACCTCTAACAACAATAACCAGCCCTTAGATTACTCTAAAATCCTTAAACCATCGACCATGAACAGTGCCATGCAGGAACGTGCCTCTTCCATTGAACCAATTCCATTGCGACGAGCAGCTTTTGTCAATGGACAACCAATGGTGAAGTTTACGGAGGCAGAAGTTGATAGAATGAACGTGATTGAAGCTCTCCAATATGCTGTGGTTGGAAAATTCGCGTATGGATTGCCAGACTTGAACGAGATACGTCGTATTGTCCCATTGCAATGTGGAATAAAGGGAGAGTGTAGCATTAGTTACTTGAGAGACAGGCATGTCCTTATACGTATGACTTTGTGGCAGGACTTTGTAGATTTTACGTCGAAAGGTGCTCAATATGTTAAGGACAAGAATGGACATGAATATCAAATTAGACCTCTCATATATGATGTGAAGTTTAAGGTAGGAGAGGAGACCCCAATGGCTATGGCTTGGATCTCTTTCCCAGGTTTGTTGCCTACTTATTTCGTAAAGGAATGTTTATTTTCACTTGCCTCAGCTGTGGGGAAGCCATTGTACTTGGACATGGCTACAATCAACAAGACTAGACCTAGTTGTGCTAGGGTCAAGGTACTTGTGGACTTGTTAGCTGATCATCCTAAGAAGGTGAGAATGGACATACTTAATGAAGCTTCAGGTGAAATAAGGACTGAATGGGTCACTATTAAGTATGATATGTTGCCTAAATATTGTAAGGAATGTTTGGAGATTACATCCTGAATTGTCACCTTATGATCAAGGCAAGAAAAATGAAGAAAATAGTAAGGAGCAGACTCAGGTGCAGCATAACCAACCATTGATGATTTTATCAAGTGGAAGAATTGTAGGTAATGTGAATCCAGCTGGGGAGCAATGGAAGGAAGTTAGGGACAATCGTGTGAAGAAAAATGGGAATCAAGGTGCTACAGGAAAAGAAATAGTACCAATTGATCATTCTAATGAGAAGCAGGCTCAAGGACAAGGTAATAATCAGGCTACAGCACAAGGACAGGCTGGTAAAGAAATTGTACCAGTAAATGCTAGTAATGTTCTGCAGACTCAAGATAATGGAGCAACAGGAAAAGAAATTGTCCCAGTGAATAATAATGAGCAAAAAAGAAATGGTGTGTTAAGGTCGGAAGTGGTGTCAGATGGTGTAACTAATCAGAAATTTCAAACATCCAATATGTTTGCAATATTGGAGGGCCAGGATAGTGATGATGCAGGAAAAAATCAAATAGTTGTAGTGGAAGATAACAACATTGCTAGCCCTGTACCTAATACTAATACCAGTAGGAGACTAAATCCTACAGCTGCTACGTTTACTCCTAAGTCTACTGGAGTTGGAAGTACATCAAGGAAGGAAAATAATGAAAATCCTAATGGCAAGAAGAATGCAGTAGTGGAAGATGCCCAAAAGGAATCAACAGCTGCATGGGTTATTAGAGCATTTACTAATAATATTGTAGCAACTAACCAGTCTTGTCAGGAAGTTCCATCTCAGGCTATTGAGATTGATGCAGCTTTAAAGATTACCAATGGTAATGAGGAATTACAATTAGATGGGAGTAAAATATGGAATCAGCAAGTTGAGGAAGATCCAGACGAAGGTGAACTACCAGAAGTGCCAGTGGAGAAGAGGAATCATCAAATGAAGAAATAGATCAGGAGGAACAAAGTGTGAATAACAAGGGCAAGGGGCAACAATCAGTAGAGAAGAGCAGAACTAATCAAGATAATATGGATCAAGGTGATAGGAATCAATCAAGTATGGATAGAGATGGAGTGCAGATTGGCATAAGTACTGAACCTACCAAGGATGTACCTCCAGATAAACATAATATGGTGGTTGAAGCTGAAGGAACAACTGTAATTACACAACCTACAGATGGGCAAATACCAGTGGTGCAATAAGAGCTTGGAACTGAGAAGACCAATCTAGGTGGATCAGCTTCTATTCAGTCATGTGATGTAAGTTCAGCAAGTGCAGCTAAACAAATGATACCAGCAGCAGACAAAGTTCAGGACAAATGCAATACAATTTTGGTACCAAGTGATATACAGCAGCAGGTGGCAGAACCAAGGGATCAATTTGGATTGGAAGAAGCTACTAAAACCAAAGGAAAAGATTTAGATGAAGAATCTACAACTCAAAATTTCAAAAGAGTGGCAAGTCAAGGGGATCTTTCACCTAGGCATATGGATACAGGCAGATCTGTAGGAAGGGGCAAAAAGAAGAATCAAAGAGAGGTACAAAGTGTAGTTCCTGGGGTTCAAACAAGAAGGACCCTATCTAAATCTCACAATTAAATGATGAATGCTATTATTTGGAATGTGAGGTCAGTGAATACAAAAAAAGCCTTTGAGAGACTTGTCAATATGCAAAGGCAACATTACTTTCAATTCATTGGAATCATGGAACCAATGCAGAATCCTAGGAAGCTGGAAAGATATAGGAGGAAGATTGGTTTTCTACAGGCTTTCTCTAATGTTTCAAATAAGATTTGGGTTTTTGTAGATGAGGATCATGGGGTGGATTTAATGATCAACACAAAACAACAGATGACCATGAAGCTGACCAACATGGATACTCAGATTTCTTTCATTGTCACATTTGTATATGCTAAGTGTGATCCCATTGAAAGGATTGAACTATGGGATAGCATGTTTTATTTGGCTAGAGACATGACAATACCATGGCTTGTAGCAGGGGATTTCAATGTTATCTGGGATGAAGAGGAGAAGTTTGGGGGCCTGCCAGTGTCACTAAATGAGGTAAATGATTTTAGACACTGTGTTAACACATGTAACCTCACAGACTTAAGTTTTAAAGGTAGTATATTCACTTGGTGGAATGGGAGAGCTGAACATGATTGCATATTCAAGAGGCTTGACAGATGTCTTGCAAATCTAGAATTTCAACAGATGTTCCCTACAGTTAAGGTCAATCACTTATCCAAAACAGGATCAGACCATAGTCCTATGAACTTGACATGCCGTTCTGATGTTATACCAATTAAATAGACTTTCAGATTCCTTAATTTTTGGATAAAGCATCCTACTTTCAAGGATGTGGTGAAGGACAACTGGAAAGTAGATTTTGTTGGAGATCCATTTTATATGTTCAATCAAAAGTTAAAGAGACTGAAGAAGGCACTAACAGCATGGAGCAGGATCACTTATGGGAATATTTTTCAGAAAATTGCAAGTTTAGAGGAAGTGGTAATTGTTCATGAGGCTGAGTTTGAAAGAAATCCTACAGCACAAAGTAGACAAAGATTGTAGAAAGTGCAAGCTGAGCTGATCAGATACTTAACTCTAGAGGAGGAATTTTGGAAGCAGAAGGCTGGCATGAACTGGTTTCAAGATGGTGATAGAAATACAAAATTCTTCCATGCACAGGTAAATGGTAGAAGAAAGAGGCTACAGTTAAAAAGAATTCAAAATGCGGAAGGCAATTGGTTGGATGACACTAATGAAATGGCTGATGAAGCAGTGAGATTTTTCCAAAATCAATTTCATGAGGATGCAGTGCCTACAGATTTCAGGATTCTAGATCATGTGCCTACATTAGTAAACAGTGGACAGAACATGAAGCTAACTCAGCAGCCTACAGGAGAGGAGATCAAATATGCAGTAATGGGACTAAATGGAGATAGTGCAGGGGGTCGAGATGGCTTTACAGGTGCTTTCTTTCACTCATGTTGGGATATAATTGGGGAGGACATAATGGCTATGGTGCAGGCTTTCTTTACTGGCCATGAGTTGCCTAGATACATTTTACACACAAACCTGGTATTGCTACCAAAAAAGAAACAGGTGGAAACTTTTTCTTATATGAGACCAATTAGTCTCAGTAATTTTATCAATAAAGTGTTCTCTACAGTAATTCATGAAAGACTGGTTGAAATGTTGCCAAGTATGATCTAAGATGAACAAGCTGGATTTGTCAAAGGAAGAAGCATAGTAGAAAATATACTCTTAACTCAGGAGATAGTTACAGATATCAGATTAAGAACCAAAGCAGAACCTAATGTAGTGATAAAGCTGGACATGATGAAAGATTATGATAGACTGTCTTGGCTATTTCTGTCAAAGGTGTTAAGAAGGATGGGATTTGGAGAAAGGTTTATTGGCCTGATATTTGGAGTTGTATCTAACAACTGGTACTCAATGCTGATTACTGGGCAGCCTAATGGATTTTTCATATCAACTAGGGGTGTGAAGCAAGGTGATCCCTTATCACCTACATTGTTTATACTAGCTGCAGAAGCTATGTCAAGGGGATTGAATGCACTGCATAGCAATATGCACTTCTGTGGGTTTGGATTGCCCAAATGGAGTCCCAAGATCAATCATCTAGCATATGCTGATGATACAATCATTTTTTCTTCATCTGATGCTACCTCATTGATGTTGGTAATGGAAGTTTTGACATCTTATGAAGCTGCATCTGGGCAGCTTATCAATAAGAACAAGTCAGCAATATATTTGCATGAATCAGCTGGAGCAGAAGTGGTGGACAAGGTGCAAATGATCACTGGAATTCCTAAGCAAGATTTCCCCTTTACATAGCTAGGGTGTCTAATTTTTTATCTCAGGAGAAGGATGAACTATTACCAGGATATTATTACTAAGGTAATGGACAGGTTGAAGAACTGGAAAGGGAAGCTATTATCCATAGGTGGAAGGGCAGTACTAATTTCAAGTGTTCTTCAAAGTATGCCTATTCACCTATTATCTGCAGTAAACCCCCCAGCATATGTGATTAATAGACTCCATAAGATATTTGCACAGCTTTTCTGGAGTAATACAGTAGTTGTATCAAATAGACACTGGGCTTCCTGGAGTACTTTATGTTTACCTTGTGCAAAAGGGGTGTGGGGTTCAGATCTTTGCATGATATGTCTACTGCATTGTTCTGCAAGTTATGGTGGAATTTCAGAACAAAACCGAGATTCTGGAGTTCATTTATGAGCCAAAAATACTGTAAAAAAGTCAATCCTATGGTGGTTCCTTGGAGAGATGGATCTCATGTGTGGAGGAAAATGCTAGAGTGCAGAAATCAAATAGAGCATCAAATTCTATGGCAACCTAAGATGGGATCATCTTTATTTTGGTTTGAAAACTGGACAGGATTGGGTGCTCTATATTTTGTCACCCCACAAGATTTTGTGTGTGATGAATCAATTCAGAACATCTATGAAGTGGTGCAGAATGGACAATGGGATGAAGAATTAATCAGGAGTATACTACCCAATGATATTGCTGATCATATTGTGCAGAATATGAAGCCTCCATTAATTGATGATGTTCTTGATAAGCCAGTATGGATGCAAGAAACAAGAGGGGATTTCACTGTGAAGTCTGGTTGGGATTATGTGAGAAGAAGAAGTGAGCCTTGCAATGCTTATAGAAAGATCTGGGTGAAAGGTCTTCCTTTTAAGATTGCATTTTTCATGTGGAAATTATGGAGAAACAAGTTGTCATTGGATGATTTCTTTAGAAGGCAGGGGTACTTAATGGCATCCAAATGTTGGTGTTATGCAGAACCAAAAGAAGAAACAATGCAGCATCTGTTCTTCACTTCAAAACCAGCCACAACTGTATGGAAGTATTTTCTTGGATGTGCAGGAATTTCAACAGATGGAATTTCTCTGCATCAATGTGATCAGATGTTGGACTGATGATGTAATTCCTAGACTACAAGCTGTTTTTCAAGCTTTACCATCAGTGATAGTTTGGGAGTTATGGAAGAGAAGGAATAGTTTCAAGTATGGGGATTCAGTCACAGTTAGTAGGGTTATATACCAGATTTCATCAACCATGCAGTCTTTAGTAAAATTCAGGAAACCAGGATTGCAGAATGTTCCACATAAGTGGCCAGATTTGCTCAATATGATGGAGAACTACACACCAGTGCTGCAATATACTAATGTTCTATGGGAATATCCTAGTGAAGGGTGGATAAAAGTAAACACTGATGGGGCATCTAGGGGTAACCCAGGCAAAAGTGCTATTGGCTATGCTTTGAGGACTGAAGAGGGGGATGTAATATATGCTTGTGGGAAGGAAATACAGGAAGGGACAAACACATTTGCAGAAGCAATGGCAACGTTGGAGGCAATGAGATACTATGTTGAGAATGAGTATGTTCTGCTTGAAATACATATAGATTCAATGGTACTTAATAAGGTTTTAGAAAGGGAGTGGACTGTGCCATGGAGTATTGTTGTAGAAGTGGAAGAGATCAAAGAGTTGATGAATAGGAGTAATGTCATAGTGTCTCACACATTCAGAGAAGGAAATAGATTAGTTGATCACTTAGGTAATTATGCTTTGGACTCTGGAGATATTGAAGCACACAATTTTTGGGATGGATATACAAGGAAGAAAGATAGTGAATGATGACAAGTCAAAATGCCCATACATCAGAGTAAAAGTGGTAAGGAAAGTAGAAGGAGAAGGGTCAACAAGGTGGAGAGGTGGTGTGCATGTAACTGGAGTGAGATTCTTAGACTGTCCTACTCAAACCAAAATTGAGGAGAGTATGAGCAGTTCATTGTTTGGGGTGCATAAGGGAACAGGAGACAAGATCATCCACTGTGGTCGAATCCTCATGGAGGAGATCACAGGAAGCATGTTTTTAACTAACAAATTTTTCTTTTTTGCAGGAACAGGTAATGTATCCATGTTTCATTTACTGGTAAATCAGCTATGGGTGGTATTAGCACTATGTGCTCTGCTCCAGGATGTGACATCAGTATTCAAAAACATGGATACATGGAGGATTAGCAGTAGGAAACACAGCTTTCCCTACTGGAACAAGGAATTCAAGAGGCTGCTTAGAAATTGCAGTCATGCATCAGCTGCAAAGAAGTGTAGGGGCAGTCTGGAGTCCACAAAACTAAAGGATGTACGGTCAACACATACAATCACGTGGGCTAGTCGTATAGGGAGTCAGGCAATGAGATGTGCAGCACAATTTTATGCTGCAGAATACCAGATCCAAATCCTTTGGGGGGAGGAAATGATGGTCAGTGATTATTCTAACTTAATAGCAGGTGACATTACTGGATATATGCCTTCATACATGTTGCAACTTTCAAGGGTGGTATTAGCTATTATAGCTCATTCCCTTAAGGGAGCAGCAATAGGAGGTATAACCATTGACTTAAACTGCAAATATGATGAGAGGAATCTGCTGGTTAAGAGGGAGCTGGCAGTTGGTTCTTAAAAAAGGCAGCACTAGGGGCTGTTTCTAATCGAACCTCAGAGGCTATTTTTGTGATCCTGCCTTATATTTTGATACAACTTCAAAGAGTGGTATTAGCACTTAGTGCTCATTCCCTCGGGGAAGTATCAAAAGTAAGCAAAAGCAGGAAGATTATCACAGTAACTAGATCAAGAAATACATATACTCCAGATCATACAGGAAAACAGGCAATGACACATGAAGAGCACTCATCAGAAGCCTTTACTGCAAATTTGGCTTACATATGGATACAACTTCAAAGGGTGGTATTATCACCTAGTGCTCATTACCTTGGAGAAGTACCAAGTGTAAGCAAAAGATGCAGGAAAGTTAGAGACAACAATCTCCAAAGATGGAACAAATCACGGAAGCAGACATGCAGGAGGATGCAGAACTGGACAAAATGTGGACATATCCTATATTGGACAGAAATTTTAGACTCAATGGATATAAATTGGACTATATGGTTAATGCGAATTGATAGCTGGACATATCTGGAAGGAGTTCATGCAGCAAGGACAGAAGGAACTGGAATAAGGTACTGTTTCAAAGGGAACAAAAGATTGACATTAGCACAGCACATGGCAGGAATCAAGGCTAAAAACTGGAATGCTACAGGTTACTACATGGAATGCAGATCATATTGAGAGGACATAGAGATCAACTGTGCGAGGAAAATGATACTAAAGCAGCAAGAAGGGGAGCAACAAGTCAGCACATCAACAATGGCTATAATCATGAAATTCAAAACTGGCTATGGATGCAAACATCGTGCAAGTTGTTTCAGATGGCTTCAAAGGCTAATTTTTAACATATGTAATAGAACTCAGTACAATATTAGGATAGATATAGCTAGCAAAGTTTACTCTTTACATCTTGTAAGACCTCCAGACATGTTTGTTTTTATTTTTAGATATTTATAAAATAGCCCTAGGCACACTGCCTAGTGGATTTTGCTAAGAAAAAAAAAAAACCGAACCCCGAACCCCGAAGCCCAAACCCTAAACCCTAAACCCTGCCATACTTTTCCATCCCTATCGGCAAAATTCCGCACATAGGCCTCTGCATTGAAGTTTGATGAAGATAACCCTTTACCAATAGTCAACCAGCCAGATCCAATATTATGGTCTTCGCCGAAGATCTTAAGCCTTCTCCGGCCAAGTGCACAATGCTAAATTATATGGCATACATTTTTAGGTAGGGGTGTTCATGGTTCGGTTTGGATCAATTTTTCCCTAAAATGAAACCAAACCAAGTAGGTTGGTTTTTCAGATATTAGAACCAAACTAAACCAATTAAGTCAGTTTTTTTTCGATTTGGTTTATGTCGGATTTTGTCGGTTTTTTCTTAAATATAAGACATACACTATCAAACACATATTTCGGCGACCACATTTTCAACGTAACACTATCAAATTAATTGCCCTTTGAGAAGTCTATTATTTATCAAGATACATTGATGATAATTGAATCAAATAGTGATGAATAATTTAAGGACTTAATTAAATATATATTATTTTTAACATGATATGGATTCTTACACTTAACAAAAGAAAACTACCAATCAAACTAGAATGTAAAGGTAAAGAACTGTACTAAAAGTGCAAATGATTAGCATTCACCATAAAATTTTTGAAATTTTATATAAAAATATACTTATATATAGGTGTAATAATAAATTTAAAATAGTTACTCCTATAGTCAGTTTAGTTCGGGTTTTTCGATTATTTTTTTATTAAAACTAAAACCAAACCAAATTTGATCGGTTTTTAAAATTCAAAACCAAAACCAAACCAAACCAAAAAGTATCATTTTTTTGGTCGGTTTCGTTTGGTTCGGTTTTTCGGATTTTGATGAACACCCCTATTTTCAGGCTTTACACTTGAAGCATGAGGAGGTTCTTCAGCAATAACCATACGGAGTTTTTGGGGTTTTGTTTTGGCAAATTATACTACTAGGCGTGCCTGGTAGTGTATTCGTATGTGTTTTACCTCCTAGAACAGCTTCATTTAATTCTTGGAAATGGAGCCACAAGTTGGATGATTATAGTTCAGATGTCAGACCCTAACATTGGTCACTATAGCTTTGGACATAAAAGATCCTAAGGGTAAAATACCTAGGAGTCAGAAACGTTTATTATTACCAAAGATGTGATTCATACAACTCTTGCAAATGACTAGAAGATATGATGTATACAATGAGAACTAAGAGCAGCCAATAGTGAATTTCAGGGAATGATTTTAAGTTGTTTAGATTTATTCAAATCAGGACTGGAAGTACCACATTAGTAAGCTACTATAAGAAGCAACTATTGATGTAAG